AGAATAGAAAATAGAAGAATAGTAAGTCAAAATACAAAGTTGTTCCCTTCATTTAGAGAAGCTCTGAATTTATACGTTTAAAAACAGTAGTACATATAAAATCTCACAAGTCAAACATCTGAAAGAGTATTCCAAATAATAGCAACTAGTAGACTGTTTTCTTTTATTCACAAATCAGCCTAAACTTAGAAACCAATAGAACAGCTATTAAATGTTATGATGTGATCTTTTTTCTTATAGAATAATTTTGAACATATGAATATGATGGAATGCACTAGGACTGTCAATGTACAACAGCTTTCTAGATTGTTAAAACATAGAACCTCATTTAGGATTATTCATTTAGATATTATTCTTTCCTTGGCTTCAGAAAGGATTGTGCCTCTGTATACACAACATAGATTAGCAAGTGAAGTGTGACTGTTAGAATCTGCTTCACTATTTTAGAGATATAGGCACATGGGAAATGCTCAGATCCTTGCTTTAAAATATCACCAGTCTGACTGTTCTCCATTTTTGTTACTGTCTTTTTTCTCTCAGTATGTTTTCCTTGCCTCTTACCACCTGTCCTCAGTGTGACTTTGAAGTACTATGGGGTGTGATCCTTTTCAGTATGTTATATCAATCATGCTACGCAAAAGCTAATATCTAAACTAAACTGCTTATCTTAGCAGTACCATTAAATGTTTTCTGAAATACAGACATATACACTACATTCTCCTGCCACTGCATTAGCTTCCCATCACCAGTGTCATAATTTCATTTATACTTTCAATCAGGATATTCTATTAAGTATACTACATCTAAAAAGATTATTATAATACAAACTGACTTTCTGATCATCCTCTTAAATTTAGGTATGAATATACTTTAGATATCTTAAGCTTCATCTAGAATAAATGGGAGCAATAGATAAAACTTTATTTAGCTTTGTTCAGAAGTTGATTTACCTGTTCTTATTTCATAGAATCCTTAGAGTTGGAAAGGACTTCCGAAGGCCATCTGGCCCAACTCCCCTGCAATGAACAGGGATACCACAGCTAGATCAGGTTGCCCAGGGCTGATCCAGCCTCATCTTGAAAGTCTCCAGGAACATGACATCAACCACATCATTTGGCAACCTGATCCAGTGCCTCAAAAACCTTACTGTAAGAGATTTCTTCTTTATATCTAGCCCAAACCTACTCTCTTTGAACTTGAAACCATTCCCCCTGTTTCTATTGCCACAGACCCTGCTAAAGAGTCTGTCCCCTTCTTTCCTTGAAGAAGCGAAAAGGCCCTCTTAGATACTGTTCTTTCTGTCCTCTAAGTTCTTCAGTGATGTTGAGTGAGTAGCAGAATGGCATCTCCTTTGAAGAATTTAGAGGGAAATATGTTTTTGTGATGACAATCCTAATCCTTTTCTGCAGACCACTGAATGCAGAATAAGCTCTGATATTTCAACTGAAAGTGAGAATATATCTGAGGAAGGGATAGCAGAAAGAGCTCTTAAAGCTGACATATGATGGAATTTCTATTTTAGGTATGAAACAAAGTGTTAAATGAGGGCCAAGAATCAGTTGTGTATGAAAGTAGTGGCTTACAGCTACTTTGTAAATTGACTTAAATGTATCAAAAGGCTATTCTGTTTTCAAATCTGCTTCCAAAACATTTTGTCTGTGCTAAGCAAAGCCTGTGATCACTTGTTTTCCCATCATCCAGTTTAGTATAAACATTAGAAAAGTTCTAAAGCTGCTACTTTATTTTTAAGATTCAGTTCAGCAATGAAAACTAAATCGCTTCCCTTCCCCCCCCCCCCCCCCCCCCCCAGTCACTGTGGTACTTGATAAAATATACAACTTAATTCACTGGAAATAAAACATGCTTTTATAAGCCACACCTCATTCTTAAGACTGATACTAATGAACAAGAAGTTCTGAAATGTTTATTAAAAATATTTTGTTTGGCTTAAAAACCCTATGATTATCTGCCATATAATCAAAGGTGGTACTACTTATCATAACTAACAAGACACAGATAACATGTAGCTATTACAATATCTCCCTTAGTCTTAAAAGATAATTTTAATAGTTTTGCAAAAATGAATCAGATAAAACATACATATTGAGCAAACACAGCATGATCTGGACTAAATTAAAAATTCAAATTCAGTGCAAAGAAAATCTTTATGTACAACTATTCACAAAAACCGTAAGAAAAAAAAAAGCTCATTTACAAGCTTTTCATAAAACAACTCATTTTTAGCATTCATAGCATATAATTCATCAAGTTTCAATTATTTCATGTTTTGTTTGGGTATTTTTTAGGTATCTTTTTCTTATGTATATCTCATGTTGCACAGCAACATTTTTTGTATGTTCCTAGTGGGTTGATCAGTGAAGGAGCCTAAAACTTATTTTTGCTTATAACAGCATGAATAGTGAACAAAATTACGCAAGTTTTGTAGTACTTGAATGTAAAAATATAACCATTACACATGTTCTTGATTAGATAACCTACAATAGCAATAGAAATTCAAGATGCTAAGTAATACGTCTGTTCTATTTATGTCAGTAAACAAATTATATTTTTAAAATTGACTTTAAAGCAGTATTTTAACATGAGACAACTTTGACTTTTTCATTCTGCATTTCCTACTTTAAGGACTGTAAAAATAGAGTATTAGTAAACATTTCTGTAAAGAAAAATCTGTATCAACATTTTATGGACTGGTTTGGCTCAGTTCTGTCACTAGCAGGGCAGAGGGATTGCATGAATCTGTGCCTCCAGAAAAGAGAAACAGGGGACTCAAAAATAATTAAAAACAGTGGCAGTGATCTGAGGAGAAACAAACTAATTTACTAAATGTAGTATCAGAATTCAAGATAACACACTATAATCCATTATAACTAGAATTGAAGCTAATAAATCAAATATAATGAGTGTTTAAAAGGTGGATAGGCCTCACCATAGCACTAAGATGAGACGCACAGTCCGGTTGAGCAGCAGAGAGGAGAGCCTGATGAAGGGAGGTCAGATGACCTACCAAAGCCTTATATCTGTTCCCACAAGCAGAAATGATAACAGCACAGTGAACAGTCTTCTGGGGAATGTAGTTCTCTTCTGGAACAGGTACCCAGAACTGGAGCATCAACACTCTAAATTCCCAGTGCACTACATGATATTATGATGTGGAATACCGATAACTAAAAATAATAAAACCATGACAATCTGATAATCTCCTTTGTTATTTTCTAAACTAAAATTTGTACTGTGTGAACATTTTCTGTTTGACACTGAATCAAAACCAGCAACAAGATAGGAAAAGCACAGACTTGCTGGATCTCATCCGTGAATGAAAGCATCTGTTTGATTGTTTTCTCCTATTCTTGATGTACTTAAGTATTTAAGTATTTGAAGTACAAGTATTTAAGTCTGTAAAAAAAAAATAGCATGAGCAAGAAATATCACCAAACAATGTTATATTTTCATTTAAAATAATACAAGAGCTTAAAGAATAGTGCTCAACCTCTGGAAAAGAGATGAAAATACTGGACTAACTAGACCAAAGCTATGTCCAAATAGGTTGTCTTCAATCCTTCTCTATGAATATGTTTCTGGAAATGTATGATATAAAGTGCACATTTTTTATCAGTTGAACATGCTAAATGAATAGCTTTATTCTTACATCTGTAATGCTCACTTCACTACACCTCCTGCACTGTTGTTTTTTATTGTCATCACTGGACTTCTTTAATAAGAGTAGCAACCCTCTAACTTTGTCTGCTGAGCCTCAAACTTGCATCATGGCAAGTCTTGTATTTATGGAGTTAAAACTTAGAAATTTCACCTGTACTTTAACATATTTCTAGGGGTTTGAAAGAAACAAGAAAACTGAAAAAGAAGAGACATGTACAACCCTTACATCCTTATAGAAAGGCTGTATCAGTTAAAAAAACAGATTTAGTATCTGTCCATACATTCAGGTACTCAACGTAGGAGGAAGCTCATACAAGTACATCAAGAATAGGAGAAAACAATCATACAGATGCTTTCATTGACTGATGAGATCCAGCAAGTCTGTGCTTTTCCTATCTTGTTGCTGGTTTTGATTCAGTGTCAACAGAAAATATTCCCTGATTATTGTGACATCCCACAAGACCAGCTTTAACACTTAAATAGTTGCAGAATCCACATTAAAATGGAACATTGTTATTAAAATTAAGAAGAAAGGATAGTTTTTAGTTATATGGTTTTGTTTCATCTAAGAGCACTTAGCACAGAGACAGTCACCAAAAGAACAAAGTTTCATCTATTCCACTCTTCGTGGTGAAGGTGTCTGCAAGGATTCTAAAAGAAAATCCTTAATATACAAATATCTGTTATGGCTCTACAAAGTTGCTGAAAACTTTTTTTTATTATTATTATTATTATTATTATTTTTTTTTTTTTTTTTTTACATTTTAATAGTACACAGTTTGGTTTTATTCATGTTATGTTTAGTATATTTTGGCCTTAAAATTAAGTTTGGAAAGGAATGTTGAAATTGCTTGCATATTCAGGATGACAGCTTTTTTTAAAAAACATATATTCTGCTGCTGCATGAACTGGAGAAAATAAGCACCCCACTCAGTGTTATTTCATCTTTTCTGTCTTGTAATTCAATAATTTCATGTTTGTTTTTCCCATATGATTACTTTCAGTCACTCTTATCTCAAAATCTGCATCAAAATATTTTGAAGTTTTGCTATTCAAGTACTTGCTTCCAATATTCAATTATCTACATCTATTGCCAGTTGTTAGTTTATAAAGTCCTAGAAATGACTTCCCTTCTAAATTTAATTAGCAATATTTGGATAACTGCAAAATTACCTTCTCCTCCCTTACATTTTTTTAAATTTTTTTTTTTTAGTACACAATTTGCTTATCTCTGGAGAGGAACTGTGAAGTGGTTTGCTCCTGTACTAAAGGATGATTGCCTTTGGATTACATTTGGATTTGACAGTTTATAATTAGTTTATTTGTAAATTAAAATTACATTTTTCCTTTCTGTAATAATTACAAAGCTTTTACTTGTCTTATAAAAATGCAAAATAAAGTATTTGATAGACCAGTATTAGGAGAGAAAAAATAGTTTTGCTCTTCATTTGACCAAGTTGTTATATACACACATACGGTACATAACAGTAATTACAGGAATAAAAGTATTCTGAAGAATAGCATAACTTTAAATTCTGACTATGACAAACATCTCAGCTCTATATTCAATTTTTATCTTCAAAACTTGTCCCACAATGGTATTAGCAAAAACTTACCTAAGTCTCTCATACTTTGGAAACAACTAGTGATTATTATACAGTATTAGGACAGCAAAAGTGTACTGAAAGTTCTGAACATAAGTATACTTCTGAACCAAATGATCAATCAGTAGATTAATTGTATGTATTGATCATGTATCCTCTTGATGCGCTCCAGTGCTGCTTCCTGAATTGCAGAATTATCAAATTATTTCACTTGACCACAGTCCATGAAGGAGCCAGAAGACATATTTGCAGTCTGTCATGAAATCTGCAATATAAGATGCCACAAGTGAAGCCACAGTAAGTTGACCGAGATCATAAGGAATAATATAATACTATTCTGTAAAACATTTCTACCATAATAAAAATCCCTGTTACCTCTTAAGCTTTTTTTCCCCAAAAAACAGGGAAGCAAAAAATTAAAATTAATCTTCCAAACATATATTTCTATGTACTTGCTGAAAAAGGACTGCAACTTCTGCCAAACCCAGTAATCAAAACAATGTGGTATGGTCAATTTGTGTACACAAGACAGCTGTTTTGTGGAGTACTTGTTACAACTGCAGGGAGCTGAGTGACCACAGCTACCAATCAACGGTACATGAAATACAACATCCCAACAATGCTTTCTTGCTTGCTACAGCAAGACTTAACATGCTACAGACAATACAAGTAAGATCACTAGGATTGTTCAGTTATTCAAAAAATGCGTTGAAATTGATTGTAGGCAAAAGGAATGTCTCTAGAAATATAAAAATGAGATTTTGATTTACTCTTTTATTTTTAGAGAATCTGTCACACTATTTTCATTCTATGCCTATTTAATGCAACCATAAAACAATAAACAAATCCCTGAATATTTACTTGTTCCTATTAAATATGCACTTTTGGGTCCTAACATAAAAGATTCTTTACAGAGAGAGTGGTGAGGTACTGGAACAGGCTGCCCAGAGAGGCTGTGGATGCCCCATCCCTGGAGGTGTTCAAGGCCAGACTGGATGGGGCCCTGGGCAGCCTGGTCTAGTATTAAATGTGGAGGTTGGTGGCCCTGCATGTGGCATGGGGGAAGTGGAGATTCATGACCCTTGATGTCTCTTTCAACTTGAGCTATTCTGTGATTCTTTTGAAAAAAATCCGTACTACATCTCACATATACAGATCTGCATATAATAGAGAATTGTTCAGCCTTAATGACACAAGAAGAAAAAAATCTCACAAACCTTAGAAAATGATTAATGAGAAAAAGACTGAATATTTAATTCATAATCCAGGTATTTTTCCATAAAGACTGGACCATTCTGTCTCATTGCAGCCAAATTTTATTTCTCCCTGTTTTTCATTTTATTTTCATTTCAGATAAGCTATTCAGATAAACTGTTGCTTACTTAATATATTTAGATAGAAAGTTCATGTGTTAAGAAGAGTGACAAATTTTCAAATAATGAAAAAATTATTTTTGTCTCAGAAATTTCCTGATTTGAGACTGATGTGATTAAGACCTGCCTGTTCATGGCTTCAAGCAAAACACAAATAAAAACAAAATACATAAACAAATACATAAACCACGCCCCTTGGCATGAAAAAACTAGCATTGTCAGCTTTCCTCCACCTGGAGCATAATTAAGTACTATAATATTATAACTACAAAACATCATAGCCTTAACATGGCTTCTCAGAAGTTAGAAATATAATAACTTCAGTGCAATTGGATACAGATATGACACTTGGTACCATCCAAATGTTAACCCATCACCACCATGCCAACTAAACCATGCTGCTAAGGACTACATTTCTTGAACATCTCTGGAGATGATGACTCCATTTCCTGAGTGGCACGTTCCCATACCATACCAGCCTTTCAGAGAAGATGCATTTGCTAATATCCAACATGAGATACCAAAAGCCAGAAGCAGTGTCTAAATTCAGAAGCTCATTCTTCTGGAAAGAAGAATGCTGTTCTCCAAATGAGAGTTGGCTGGATGCAGTAAAGAACTAGCATCATTACCAGTAGCAATCATAAGAGGCAGTTACTACACTGGAAGTTAAAATATAAACTCCCTTGACATCATCCAGAGTATTACTGGAACTCCTGTTTATAATCTTCTGCAATGTTTATAATCTTCTGATGAATATATTCTAAAGAAAATCATGTAATTATGTTTTAAGTAATACAGGGAGTCTAGAGTGTAAGGGAAATGTCATTATTTTCAGTGAAGTCCTTCCAAGCTGCAAAGTCTGCACAATATATATTTAAATTTCAAATTATTTTTCTTTTTCAGTTAAATAACCTGTAAGTGCCTGGAAACCAAAATTTACTTTCAGACAAGTTGTTTATGATCTTCTAACTTCTGTGCCAATTTCACTAACTTGCAGATTTTTAGGACTAGAATAAGAGGGATTATAATGGAAACACTGACATCCTTGCAGCTACAGATGTATCAGCTACTACTGTATTAACCAGTAGATAATTGCTTTTAGCTTGCCATTCAGTGAATTAGGAGATGAAAATTTTCATTAAAAGGTATCACAATAATAAAATAACTATGGCTTTCCCTGAGATTTCTTAATATTTGTTATTTTCTAATTCAGGAGTACCTGCCCGAGTGAAAATATTCAGAATTCAAAGCCAGAGAGTAACGAGCAGCTCACATAGCTGTGAAACACAACCACCACTATAGTATGCACAGGCCAATGTGCTGAACTAATATTAATTTTGATGTTACAGTTCCGTTCAAAACTGAGTGTTTTGAGATCTTCATGTTCAGAAACTTCATATCCAATATAGGGAAAAAAGAAACATTGAAATGATACTAGCATCATACTAGCATCAAAATCACTACATTTTTTAGAAGTTATGACTTTTTTCTTAAATCAGGATTAGGAATTACTGACTCCTCATGACAAAATGAACCAGCAGTATCATATTACAGACTGCAATTTTAAAAATATTTCACTACAGTTTAGTCCTTATTACAGTACATTATGTCAGATGAAATGGATCCAATAAAATACCTATTGTTTATGCAATTACCACTACTTTGATTAGTCAGTCACTGCTCAGCAAGCATATACTCTCCAAAATGGAATATTCTCTTCTGGGTATTAATTTGAACCACAAAATGATGTCTATTTAAACTGTACAAGGTGATGATTTTTTTCCACCATGAAAGTAGTACAATATTTTTTACGTAAAAAAATTAATAAGATTCTCCAAGACGACAAAATCTTTAGAGAGAACATTATAATTCTCTCACTTCTCACTGCTAGTATTTAACCTAATTCGACCCCTTTAAAGTCTACAGAAGCTGGGACCAAGCAAAAAAAAAAAAAAAAAGAAGAAAGGCACATAAACTATACGTAATATATTTACTGTTTTCCATTCTTTTTACATACTGATACTAGGTAGCATACAGAAATCCAATGCTACTTAAAATAAAAATGGACACATTAGATTAGGGATGCAATTCTATATTTAGCCTCATTATTCTAATATAAAAATGTTATCTGTGAATTTTGAAAGATACAAGACTTAAAACTCTTAAATCTAAGTTTCAGAGGTCTCAAAATCCTTAAAAACAACAGCTGTTCTTCTTATTAATTTGTCTTCCTACCTCAAAACAAAACAAATGAAAATTCTCCATTTCTTGTCAAATCATTTCTGGTATTTCTGCTTTTTCAAATAGGATATGTTCACAGTTGCTTGAAAATAATTTGCAATGAATTCAAGAGACAGATTAAATCATATCTGGATTACCGTAATTAAGTAATAGTGGTAACAGTGCTGGAAAACTGACTAATCTATCAATATACAGTTGGAGCTAGAAGTTACTATGACATTTTGTTCATTATATAACTATATCTTCAGTCACACTGCACTTAGACTTGAGATCAATTTTCCTCTTTTCATTTTGTGAACACAATGTACTCTCCGGCATGGTGTCACATAGGTTTTTAAAAGTCTATAATTCCATCATTAACTTTTCACTTACACAGTCCCTCATGACTCATTCTTTTATTTTTTTTCTCTCCACCCCCCCCCCCCCCCCCCCCCACCATCTTCCTTTTCCCTTCACTTGCTCTGCTCTATTAAGTTTCCAACTTAGATAAATATCTATCTACTATTTCCAAGAGACATTCTATACCCAGACACTGAAACTGGAAAAAAATTTCAGAGTTTATTAAATTATGTACTTTACAAACAACCTTAAGAATAAAAAACAAGGAAATGAGAAAGTGTCTAGCTATTAAATTCAGAATATGGAAGAGTGAATTTCTAACAGAATTCCTTAGAAAATTAACTTTGTTTACATCCTTGCACGTACTGCAGGTGAGCCTTGTAATACATGCAGCTGTAGTATATATGTCTGCATACTGTCTGAATAAAATACCCCTCATTTCCACAAAATGGATAGAATAAATTCTAGATTATACATTCTCTTTAGAATAAAAACCAACTCATGTATACACAACAGAAACTTTAAGGAGAACAAAGATATTTCCACTTTAAAACACAATTTTCTATACCATTAGAGAACCATAAGCAACCTTTCATTGCTAACAAAGGAATACAGCCAATATGTGCATTTCAGATGAGAGAATGAATGGCCACAGGAGTGCTATTAGCTTTGCTAGATGTGCATTTCATCCTATTTAACTTAACTGGATAGTTAATTTGTAAACTATCTTGAGCAAGACAAACAAAGAATCTGTGAAAGAGCATGAACTATTTCCTCTTCATAAAATTTATGAAATGCCTTGAGATGAATGGGCCCTTTGAGATAGCTCTTATTCAAGTTATCTTCATGAGATAGTTTACTGAAAAAGGAACAAAGTATCTCCTAAAGGTCTTACCTACCTGAGACAGCTAGATAAAGGGCCTGATGCTGTCTCTTATTTGATTCATAGATGAAAATGTAGACTGTGGTCCACCAATAACATTGTCCATGAGCTCCTTTCTCACTCATTTCACATCATTAGTGTTGTACCTTTTTCAGAGAAGTAAAAAAATGATAGCGCACACATTCTTTGTTTCTCTGCTCTTCCAGCTAAATTTGAAACTACTATCCAAATATTTTAAATCAAATTATACTAATGCCATCCTCACAAGCAATAGTGATTCCAGGAACTTATGTACGCAAAACAGAATTTAACTTAAGACAATATAATATTAGTGCTAATCCATTCTTCACTATATTTGAGAAGTGAGAGCCATCAGTCCCTGGACTAGAAAAAAGAAAACATCATTCCCACTTTTAAGAACAGGGAAAAGAAAACCCGGGAACTACAGGCCAGTAAGCCTTGTCTCTGGGTCTGGGAAAAATCATAGAAACAGATCCTCTTGGAAGATATGTTACAATATGCAAGACAAAGATGTCACATGAGACAGCCAACATGACCTCAAAAGGAGATAATGATGAACTAATCTGGTGAAAGGGCAACTTGAGTCATCTACCTAGAATTGTACAAGGCTTTTGACATCGTCCTGCACCACACTCTCATCTTTAAATTGGAGAGATATGGATTTGAAGGTTGGACTAATTGATAGATAAAGAATAGGCTTGAAGATCTCAGCCACAGTGGTGTAGTCAACAGCTCTATACCCCAAGATACAGAGTCTGATTACAAGATATGTCCATCTTAAGCCCTTCTATGGTAGACGTACTGACATTCTGATTAAGAAACCTAGATTGTGCTAGGAAAGTTCAGAAATATTATTTTTATATTTGTATATATTATTATATTTGTACAGTACACATCACATAAAATATATATCCTAACGCACATATAAATATATTATCCTGGTGTGAACTGGAGAAGAGTTAATTTTCTTCAGTGTCTGGTATGATGGTCCAGCTGAAACTTTAGGATACTATTTACACACTACATATGAAATCTGAAAACAGAAAGGAGAAAGCCCAAACTTTTTATAACACTCAGTATAGATATATAATGTTTAAATTCTAAGAAAAACCATAATCTTCAATATAAGTTAGTCAGTAATAGTAATATAAAGACGAGGAGTCTATGCACCCTTTTAAAACTGTAGTAGCAGAATGTAGAATGTTTATTTAGAAAAAGCATCATTAAGCTCACTGAATTTCTAATTACATCTTTGTTGCAGACCATGCAATTTTTTTGCTAACAAAACATTAGATATTATGAAACACAGTATTTGCTCAAATCATTTGAAGATAATCTGTTTTAGTTTATTTACTCTTTTGTTGTAATTGTGCAACAAATATGAGGATTAACTTTTTGTTGAAGTTGATTCCTAAGAAACCTCATTTACATGTTTGCATTACTTTAAACCTGTGATCACAGTGCACTAAACAGTGGTACTGACTATAAGCTGTCGTAAGTACAGCTTCTGAAAAATATTTGTAAGATATTAACTAAAATCATATGCAATTCCTTCCCCTCCTTTTCCACTGGTGTGAACAATATTTCAGCCAATACTGGTGTGAAAAGAATCAGATATCTAACACAACTTAAACTATCAGGCATTTCATTTTTCTCTTAAGTAAAGCTGAAAGCAGTATTTTCACCACACTGAGACAGAAAAAGAAACAGCAGTTTCCTTTTATTGTAATTGCTAACTCAGCTATTCTATAAGTAAAATAAATTAAAATCAATGCAAGTGTTTCTACAACATTTGCAATTGAATGGTTAAAATATTTCGCTTTGAAAGTAATGCCTCATTTTTCTCCATTGAAGTACGAATAACACTATTTGATAGAGAAAATTCTAAGCTACAAAACACTTTATCAGCATAGACATAACCATTAGCTACACATTTTTACCAGCTAAGAAAAAGAGCATTCTGTGCTCATAAGTACTCGCACAGCCATCCAGAAGATGGCTTGTCTTTCACACTGCTATCACCACTGCTGAAGTGTAATACTCTTGCTTCACCGTGCTTACACCGTTTGGTCACCACAATTATTCTGCAAGTGCTGATGAATGTCAGTGTGTCCAGTATTTTCCCATGTGGAGAACTTCAATAGCACACCTTTGCTTCATATGCGCTTCCACCTCAGATCCCATTCTGTCAAACTGCCCCACTGCTGCCACCTGTCCCATGGCAGCAACACAGAATCACAGAATGGCCAGGGTCAGAAGGAACCTCAAGGATCATGAATCTCCAACCTCCCACCACACGCAGGGCCACCAACTTCCCCATTTAATACTACACCAGGCTGCTCAGGGCCCCATCCAGTCTGGCCTTGAACACCTCTTGGGATGGGTCATCCACAACCTCTCTGGGCAGCCTGTTCCAGCACCTCACCACTCTCATAGTAAAGAGCTTCCCCCTGACATCCAACCTAAACCTTCCCTCCCTCAACTTAAAAACATTTCTACTTGTCCTGCTGTTATCTACCCTTTCAAAGAGTTTACTCCCCTCCTGTTTGTAGGCTTCCTTTAGGTACCGAAAGGCTGCAGTGAGGTCACCCCGCAGCCTTCTCTTCTCCAGGCTGAACAAGCCCAGCTCCCAAGCAGCAAGTAACAATTTTGGTGGAAAGGTTCAACCTCTACTGCCATACCACCACCATCTGCCTCTGACATTGTGCATCAACATAATGAAATAGAAGGCACTACTTTTGGAGCAGCCCTCTTAATTCCCAAAGTTAAGAAAAACTGCTTGTAATTGAAAGGGGTAATGCAATTGTTATTTGACAGTGACTGCAAGTGAAATAGATATGAACCAATAACATACACAGTACATTATTGCATTTTCATAACGCAGTTAAGTTTTGCACTCCTTCAAAAAATAAAAAATAAGGAATCTTAAGTTTAATAGAGAAAAACAGGAGTCAAAGAGAATGAAATATCTTATTTTTACAGCCCTGGGAACAATTCATAACGTAGCAAATGCAATAGTAAGTTATGAGAACAAGACCAACAGGAATAAGATTTTATAGTACTAAGATTGTACAAAAAATAGAAGTGAATTAAACTAATTAGGGGAACAGTATCAGCCTATAGTTCAAATCACATTAACAAAATGATTTATACGCTGAATTAACATTATAAAGGATGGCATTTTTTTCCTTCTTTCTCCTGAGAATGAGGGTTGTTCCAAAAGTAATGCCTCCTATTTTATTATGTTGGCCCACAATATCAGAGCTGGATGTCAGTGGTATGGCAGTAGGAGTTGAACCTTCCTCTCGCATTTATGAGAAAGGAAGGAGACCAATGTGAAAGAAATAGCTCTGCATGCACCAAGATCATTGCAGAAGTTCCCCGCAATCCAAGAGAGACACATAATGGAGCAGGCTGTCCCTGCAGACCATAGACACCATGCAGAGCAGGTCTCCACATGCAATCACAGAGGATCCCACAGCACAGTGCTGGATTTGTCCTGAAAGAGGCTAAGCCAGTGGAGAGACCATGCAGGAACGGATTCCTGGAGGAAACCACTGCTTGGGGAGAGAACTCCACCCACAGTGGCTACTTTACATGATCTGCAGCCTGGGATGAACCCATGCTGGAGAAGTCCACTCCTGAATCCATACCATGCTGTGCAATCCTTCTTGAAAAAGTTCTTGAATAACTGGTCTGTGGGAAAGAGCTATGTTGGATCCAGATAAGACTGGGAAGGACTGCACCCATGAGAGGGATGCCATGCTGGAGTGGCAGAAAAGTGTGAGAAGGAAGAAACTTTCCATCAGAACATCAGATGCTGTGATTTAACCAGACACGCCACTAAGGAAGACGTCATTTGCTCAAAAATGTAATGGAATGAGGAAAAGAAATGGAAATAAAATAGAACTTGTGGATTGAGATAAAAACTATTAACTAAGATAGAAAAAGACAAAAAGCGATTGTATACGTGTGTATAAAGCATTACTCATCACCAACCAACAAACCAACACCTAGCCAATCCCCCTAACAAACAGTTAGCTCCTGGTCAACTACCCACAGCTTTGTATCATTCCTTGTGATGGTAGATGGGATGGACCAATCCCTTGCCTAATTCAGTCCACTTGTCCTGACTCCACCCAATCCCGTGCTGCCTTGCAGTAAAGGAGCTTAACCTGGAGAGTAGCCTCTCCTGATCTTGGACACCTATCTATTGCACAGGAGCAATTGAAACCACAGCTAGGCTGTCATCTTCAGTGTTCACAGATTAAACTTAAAACTTTAAGTTGTAAATTCAGCACTGTCTTGATTCTTTGTGTGTTTCATGTTAAAAGCAAGACTTCTGGACAGAAAAATCAGTTAGTAAAATTATATTCTTAAACATAACTGGAAAATCTTTGATATCCCTACCTCTCTAAAAAAAAAACAAACATAAAATAAAGTATAAAGAAAGTAAGTAGCACAATTTTGTGAATTGGATACCAGGTCATCCAAACTACTTCATTTTTGTTATGAGTCTTTTGATTATAGCACTTTAACAGAGTTTTTTCAAATCAAAGCTCAGGCATTACTTTCAGCATGATGCTATAGCTCTCTACAAGAACTTGTCCCAGAAGGCAATAGTAGTAATAGAGAGCCATACCAGACTGCCCAAGCAGTTTCCTAACACTATCCTAGCAGTATTTTATCCTTTTTAAAGTCTTGAATGATACCATGTTTTTAAATGAGCACTATGTAGTAGTAGTCCAGCACACCTTTGCAGGTACTTCAAGTTGAATGGAAAAAAAAAAAAACAGTGTTTTGTGACACAAACACTATCTGACTTGTATATATATATATTTTTTTTAAAGGTGCATAGAAGCAACCTCATTTCACATGCATTCAAAGCATCTGCAAAAGTATGAATGCATTAGTGGCTGACATATCTGCTTCACAGCATACATCTTTTAGAACCTGCTCTGGGCACAAATTAAGACACCCAACACTTCATAGACTACACTGATCTACACCTCTGATTTCTGCTCTCTCTATTACTAATAGTGAGAGATGATGTAGGAAAAAAGAGGGAGTAAGAGAAAGAATGAGGAAGGGGGTCTCTTATTTCCTCATGGCTGGTAAGAGTACACTTGCTCGGGCATTTCTGAATTTTTACATTTGGCTGTGGCAAATGTGGGGTGTTTTACAGATTGGTAATGGTATGAAAAGGATCTAGCATTGTGACCAGAGAACTTGCTTGACCTTGATGCTGTAAGAAAAGATATGCTCAGGTAATTTGCCTGAAGCTACTGCAGAATTAAACTTTGCTGATACAGAAGTTGAGAATAAAATAAGGAATTTTAGTTCATGCAACGAGAATCATGTAATGATCTTTAAGACTAAAAGGCAACACAAAATACTTGCAACTAAGTTGCAACTTCATAAAAAAATTACCTCATGCTAATCTCAAATATCAGCGCTACATGTCTCTACTAATAAGAGCACAGTAAAGCCTTGTTTTACCTACCTGGCACATAGATAATACTTTATTAAGATACATACTGACATGCTACTACTAACACACAGACCAACCTGATGAAGTACTCTAATGACCTACTCACCCTTTTTTCCACTACAGATATAGTGGGAGGGATGGATACAATATTATCTTGAAATTCTAGAACGTAGCGTTCTTTACCTACATCATAGTTCCCATTCAGAACACAAGTTACCTATCCACATTTGTGTTACCACAGCTAAAGCATGGTAGAAGACAAAAGTATAAACAACTACAGCTTTTCTTCAATTACTTCTTATCATCTAGAAACCATTTAAGAATTCAAAACTGAAATGACAGTTATTTTAGCCTTGTTCTGCTCCCAGAGAAGCAAAATCACTTCTGACAGGTTCTTGACACAAGTAGGCTAATAGTTACAGCAAAAAGACAAAGCAGACTCACACAACTAGTGAAGGAGATCTTTGGACGTATAGCAATCCATCCCAGGAAGCTGGCTAAGTCCAAGAAACACCCTCCCTTCCGTGGCTAGCCCTTATATGTGTCCAGCCTGACTCCACCCTGTTTCACCCCTTCTGATCACATAGGCAGCACAGGTGTAAACAATTTGTCTGTGCTCCCTGGGCCAGGCACACCCTTTCATCTTGTGCTCAATCACCAGTTCAAGATGTGACTGAACAGTTCCCTACAGGGCTTAACTAATTTAAATATTAAGTCTGCAGGCACTAGATATATAATGCTGAACCAAACATTGTGTTTAAACATTTTCCTGTTCAACCTGAAATTACAGGTTCAGAGACTGTTTTTTAATCCCTCTCTCTCCTCATGGAATATTTTTGAATCTCTTATAACATCTATAGATTAGATTGTTATTGTTTCCTCCTTTTTCAGTCACATGAGAAGTTATTGCTTCATGCCATATTGCTTTGTTAGTACACTGGAATTTCTGTATTTAGAATAAATACAATGAGACAGATTTGCACATTTATTCAATTTGTATTTTGAAAAAGTTTTTTAAATTTTCTTTAAAGTATTACATCACCGTTTTTTTCTTCCACTGATGATGGAAATACTGATGTCTTCTGATTGACTTACGTTTTGTAGACGTATGTAAATAACTTTATAAAATGGGAAATGTAATATGTTGGATTAGTTTTTATTAATATCCTTCAATATTTTTTTATATCAAAACAATAAATTTACAAGAAATATGTGTTCATTATTTCTCTTCTTTTTCTCATTATTCTAAACACCCATTCTTGCTGCTCTGTTGCCTTTTGATTTAAACCTTTCTGAACTGTGCAAGCTCAGCAGCCAAGGTGTATACAGCTTGCCTACTACAGCATTTATCCATTCGTTATGAAATTAAATATCAGACCCTCTGTGAGAGGGGAGAAACCCTGAAGTGTAATCTTGAGAAAGGAACATACTTTCTGTTATTTGCATCGCTATTCTCTGATATCTGAGTGTGCAAAAACTGATGGCCATTAATGACATTTCAAAAAGACAGAAAAATTCCCAGGACCCAGAAACGAAAGGCTAACAGGCAACCATGACTAAGCTTGTGACTGCAGTGCTTTATCAGTTTCAAGATGCATCATGTTATTCAACTAAAAGGAGCACTAAATGCCTCTAGGAGGAAAATTTCTGCACTATTGTAATTCTGTTTTGGAACATCTCCTTTGCTTTTCCTCTCCACTTTCCACCTCTTACAGCAGTATATATTTAACATTTCTCTCCTACTTTAGATTTTCCTTTTTTTTTTTTTTTTTTTTTCTTTTAAGGATAAAATCTTACTCCATGGATATTAATAATACTAGGCTTTTATCACCTGGGTTTGCAAGTGACTCCAGACATTCATTAGTTTTACAAGCACTATTCGAAATCAATTACTTGATTTTTTGCAACAAAGATGTGATTAAAATTAAATGTTACATCTTCTTCTTATCTTTTTTTTCAGCATAATATGACATTATGCGATTTATACCATAGAGAAACCTGCAGTTATATGCTTTTTAAATATCTGTAAATCTTCAATGTTATTTTTGACGTTGTGGCTGCAGATGTCATTAATATATTCTCTACCTACCTTCTCATCTTAGCTAAGAATTACTTCTCAACAGAAGTGCAGAGAATCTCTTGTGTTTCAAACACATGATCATGCATGTAATTTTCAGTTTCCTTGTTTACTGTAAAGGATACAATAATGAGATACAGATATCTAATATAACTCTAGTTTACCAGAGAAGGGACTCTTTAAATGTCACTACACGCTGATTTCTAATCTTATTTTTATAGACTTTTTTTTTTTTTTTTTTTTTTTATAAATTGCATCCCTAAAGCACTAATCACTTTAATAATCATAGACATTTCATTCTTCCTATCCCCTTCAAAAAATACTTAAAACACTTAAAAAATAAAAAATAAAAGAAAAATAAAAGAAAAAATATCTGGCAGCAGCAGTGTTATATCAATAAAGTGTCACTCTTAGATGACAAACTAGTTAAATGCAAAAAAGAAGATCTTATGGCAAACATATATAAAAAAATCGAAAAAGTCAGTAAGACAACTTGTACCTTCCCCATTTCTATTATATCAGACCTGTATGTTTCCCTGCCTGGCTTAGCTCCTGCAGAAAGGTAGGAGCTTTTTTATATTCACATATAACCAAAATGTCCTACTGAATCAGAGTTTCAAGTTTTAAGACAGCAAAATTCATCACAGATTGGAGCCAGCTCACTTTTTTGGTATACGTTTTAACTTTGGTGAAATTTATTTATTCATGATACTAACTTAGTGATTTTTGTGCTGGTACAACAGATAAATCTATTATAGAATTTTTGTTTCTATGCTTTGATAAAGAATTTCACAATAATGACCAAGTCCTAGCTAGCCATGGTGCTTGTTACCTTTTCATAACAAAGTAAAAGCTTTCTTAGCCAGTCCATCTTATCTGTGCCACCAATACAGTTTAATATACTCATCTGATTAACTGCTGGATAGCCTATTTTCTTCCATTTGGCTCTCATCAGCAAGGGAAGGTTCTCAGTACACATGGTAGAGTTACAAGTTGCAAAGCAAAGCAAACAGCATTGTTTCCAAGCTATATTCCTACAGTCACACATCATATTTATATTTAATTTTGTTCAATATCTGTTGCACTTAGTTTATATCTTATTTTTTTCTTTATGTTTTGAATGTTTTAATGACAGATGATATTTCAAAGGTATGGTTCAGTTGATGCTACTGTGTATCTCAGCAAAGAATAAAGTCTGAGATAAATGTGGTAATTTAGAATTAAGGTATGGAGATTCTCTTTTAAAAGAGTAATAAGTTGAGATTATTATTCCAGCTGTACTGTATTAATATGCTAATGAGGTAACAGCTCAGATCAGCTGAAATACTAACTGATTTAAATTAGTGAATTAGCTTGTACTCAGTGGTTGTCTTATACCATGGATAGTTATGAATGTCCTGAATTACTTGTCTTTATACTTAGCAAGAAAGACAAGCAAACAAACAAACAAAAAAATTCCATAGGATACAAGTCATGATTTTCCTTAAAGCAGTTAATAATATTTTTGAGTGTGTTCATAACAATAGATACTAACAACAGCTCCTGATAATGAAACAAATGAGAAATATTTGAAGAAATCAGAAATTGGAGCTGATTGCAAGGACTTAGAAACACCACATAGTTTTGAATTCAGATACAGATAGTGATATGTTTCCATTAAGATAAGTTGTTTCTAAGTAACAAAGATATTTGGAAGCTCACTCAGACTTTATTCAAAGACACTTTTTTATCAGTGTTATGTCTTATCAGCATTTTTCCAAAGAAAATCAGTTTTTGAAAATGAAAATGATCAAATATGGGGAAGTGGAAATACCTATTATCTACTTGATTAGCCCTTATATTTTATTATGCAACATTAATTCTATATGCAGTATGGATTTTAGCAATAGAACACTTGGAGTTGTGGCAGTAATATTTCTGTGACTTCTAAAAAGATCCTGTATATAAACTTAAAATCTTTCAATGATATATTTAAAAGATGGAGAAGAAGACTTTCTTTGGTATTGCCCCTGCTGCTGCTCTGATGCTGCTTCTTTTGTTGTTGTTGTAGGCAGCATACATGAGATCAGCATATTTTAAATGAATTTGATCTGGAGCATATTTGAGTTGCTCAGTACAGCAATCATATAAAATCCCATGTGTACATGAGCATATGAAAGCAATGTCAAACCTTTTACAGACAAAAAATGTTGTGGTTGGAAGAGAAATGCAGGAGAGAAGCAAACAATAGAAAGAAGAGCAAGAATCCTCAGGGAAATTGATAAAAACAGAGGTGAAGAAGTTATAGAGAGAAACTAGGCTATCCGATACTTGATTGGATAACAGCAGCATAGAAAGAGGGAAAGAGAAATTCAGAACTTAAAGAAACATTAGGAGAATAAAAGACATTGAGAAACCTATTTTTTTTAATTGTTTTCTCTGCAAAAAACAGAGGAGAGTACTTTTGAGATGCATGGCCTCAAGAGACAAGCATTAAATGGAGAACTGGGAGAAATGAATGGGAGCAAGATATGGGACTCCTTGGCATGTGATAGGCTGACTGGGAATAAATTTCTTAGACCATTGTTTTAAACTGTTCTCAAGGTTTGCCAGGCTCATAAACAAACTTGTTTACTGAAATTCAATAGAGCATGGTAACGTCAGACTGAATATGACAGTATTTCAGCCAGGGGAGGCCAGAGTGGGCCAATGTCACCCATCACTGCCTCTCTAGATGATCAGTAAATCTGTAAGGAAACTGTACAGGGAGCCCCAGAAAGACATGGCCCCATCTGAGAGAGGCAGCATCTCCCTGTCTCCTCATGGCAAAGGCTGTGATGCTCCATGGCTGCTTGCATTCTGTGCCTTGGCTCTTTCAATGCAAAGTATTCTGAAAAAGGCAGCCCTACCTTGGGGTGCATCAGCACCAGCACTGCCAGCCAGGCAAGGGAAGAGATTGTCCTGCTCTGCTCTGCACTCTGCAGCCTCATCTCGAGCACTATAGAAGTTTGGGTGTCACAATGCAAAGAGGACATAAAACTATTACAGAGTGTTTGAAGGAGGGCTACAAAGATGGTGAAGATTCAAGAGGGGAAGGCCTGAGGTCTCTTCGTTTGTTCAGTCCAGAGCAGAGAAGGTGGAGGGGAGATTTCATGGTGGCTACAGCTCGTCACGAGGGGCAGCACTGAGTTCTGCTCTCTGGAGACAATTACAGGATCTAAGGGAACATCATTGAGCTGTGTCAGGGGAGGGTCGGGTGGAAGTTAGGGAAAGTTTCTTTGTCAGAAGGCAGTGGGCATGGAACAGGCTGCCCAGCGCAGCAGTCATGGCCCCAAGCCACTGGAGTTCAAGAAGCATGTGGACAATGCTCTCAAGCATATGGTCTGATTTTTGAGTGGTCCTGTATGGAGCCCGGAGTTGGACTCAATGATCCTGTGGGTTCTTTCCAATAAAGGATATTCTACGAAA